TGGCTTAGAGGGATTGCTCATCAGGAGCCTGCAGTGATTACCTGTCCTCTGACACAGGACAAGGACACTACAGGGGAGCTAAATCTAAGACTTCCAACATATCGTTTGGGCTGGCTGACAAGCACAGAGGGTACCTGTGTAACACAGCATTCTCACAGGTCTCTGAAACAACCGGCAGCAGGCAAGGGTAATACCTGGAAAAGGAAGTCTAGATTAGACATCACTGCCTTCAGTCAATGAGCATTCAGGTGGATTTATTGTCAAACCATTTATAAAAAATAGTGCTGAGCAAGGAAATAGCAGTATGTTCCAATCAGAACCTGGTGCAGTAAGGGCAGAACTATGTTTCTGCGAAGACAGTGTAGCTCTAATTATGAAAAATAAGCGTGAAATATATAATTGTTGTATTTAAAGGGAGATTGCCTGAATAGGAAAAGAATCAAAAACACTCATCTACACAAGAAAATAGGTAAAGCCAGAGAATAATGAGTTAAGATTAGGAAATCGCAGCACTGCTTCCAAGGAATCACTATAAATTTTAACAGCGGGGAGGTGGTTCTTACTCAACGTGCAGAATATTTTGTGGCTATCTGCCTCTTTATTCTGTTAGAGTTATCACAGTCTCATACATACTTCAACTTTCACAAATCAGATCCTGAAATAGCAGCTGTGCCTCCTTCTACTGTTTGGTGACAGCCTGAGACAGAAAGCCCAAAGGGGTCAGGAAACGCAACACTGATTCTGAAAGCTGAGGTTGGAAAAAAACTAAGTTTTCAATCCGTTTCTGAGCTAGATAAAGCCCTAAATTACACCTGCACACAATACTAATGCTGACCGTGCCACTGGCGGTGGAACGAGTCCAGCCCTCAGGAAGCCTAGGTGGCCAGATAAAAATAAACAAATCACTTAAGCTTATCTTCCTAATCCTGGACATAACTTAGTGGGCAGGTTCTCTTTGAGTTTCCTACCCTAAAACTCCCTGCCTCCAGTGTTTTCTGTCACCACAGAAGACTGGTAGAAAGCTCCCTTGCTTCCTGGATTGTGCAGCGGAGACAGAGATTTCCTACAGCTTCTCCTGAAATACACATCTCTCACCTAGGATATGTTCAACTTGCTTCTCCTGAAAGAAACTTCTATGACTCCGCAGAGCTTCATCTTGTTACCCTGAGCTGGATTTCCATAGCATAAAGCCCACCTGGGCTCTGTGCTGGCTCTTGAGAGCAATGTACAGCTCCCAGTAGATTTCTTCTCACTTCGGTAATGAGAACACAGGCTTCGAAGAATCTTTTTTTGGCATCTTCCTAAAGCTTACTGGCCTACTTTGTCCCTCTGCAGCCATTTCCTCCCTGCTCCAGTGAAGTCTGTTTTTCTGATTAATTTCCAAGTCGCCCCTCTCCCAAAAAGTAACCGTCATTTGTGAACACGGAAAGGGGCCTCATCGGGGAGGTGCCACAACCTGCACATTCTGCAACTAGTTCTCCTTCACTGTCACTGTACACGCAAGGGTTATCATCACCACTGCCTCTGGAAAGAACTGTTTCTAGCCCTCCATTTCATGTGGGTCACAGAGAAGAATTCTTCTGCAGTTTGCAGCGCACGAGGAGCCTGAGTGGTCACCAGGACTCCCACCAGAACACAAGCCGTGTGTAGCATTAGATCACCGAGTTCCCTAGAGCAGAAGCTTTGAAACTGGGTTGGATAAGCTAGTCCTCAACGACCTGTCTTTATAAGGCCTAAGTGGAAGTGCAAACACTCCAAGGGGAATAGGCAAGTCAGTGGTTAATTCCTAAACCAGGCAGCTATACTAATGTATTCATGTCTGTAAAAAAAGGCCTGGATGAAATCCCCACTGCATGAGATATATTTAGCTTTGGTATCGGTCTACAACATATCCAGAACAGTTGGGAGAGAAAGCTAATGGGAAAAAAAAAAAAAAAAGAGAGAGTCAAAACAGAGGGGGAAAAAACACAGTGATATTAGCTTTCTTTGGCAATACTAAAGGGCGTGTGGACATGGACGGCTTCAGAGGACAAGAGACTTTACAGTTAAGCTCTAAGCTCTACTTAGATCTGCCTCAGAGGACTTGGCTGTTTATTCTGGGCTTCCTCTGCCCAGAGAAAAGTGAAAGCTGGAGCTTGGACTCACTACTCACTGTCTTCTGTGGCAAGCAAGGTCCTGCCTCTATTAGACCAGGCCCAGGTACAGATTCAAGATGGCTTGGATAACCATCAGTGCGTTTCATAGTACAGTTTATTTGCAGGTGACCTGAGCCAAGGGAAAAACACTGGCTACCAATGAATACGGTGTTCAACAGATACACTGTTCCAAAAGGCTCTGACTTCTATGCTTTTATCAGGTATTAGTTTGTAATAATCCTCTGCTAAGAACATGTGTGGCACAAATCCAAGACCAGCTATAGAAGAATTTTGCTTCCAATTAAGCAAAGAGTTGTCAAGGGCTCTCTGTGGCTATGAAGATCAGGCAACTTCCTACTATGCTTTTAAGAACCCATTATAAAGTACCCAGGTTATTAAAAAAAAAGATCTGGATGATAATAAATAAATACATCTTCCCTAACCTGAATATTCTCTCCAGTGCTTTGCTGTTAGGGACAACAGTACTCAGATGGAAGAGCTGCTGTCACTTGGCACTGGGAGGCTACTTTGCAGACATCTACCTCTTGCTGAAATGCAAGACACATGCTTGTCCAGGAAGGAGTTCTGCACTCCAAAATACCATGATCTAAAACACACAAGATTAAGTTGGAATCTGGAATAACTTCTTGTTACATAGGGGTGGGCTATACAGGAATGGATATTGGCCTGGAACGTACAAATGGGACCGAAAGAAAAGAAAAAAGTTAATACTTGTCTGAAAGGATCCAGAAAGGCAGAAGACTGAAGAGAGAGAAATAAAGCTCTGGTGCAAGCACGTAAGATACCCGTGGCAGTTTCAAAGATGGGTTAGATCTGACAGAGCGATTGATTTGCAAAAGTGCATCATCTGTCAAAGAGCTCAAATGATGTAAAACCTTACAAGAGCCAAGGTCGACAGGGATAACATTAGCCTAACGCAAAAACTGATTTATGGTGCTGGCGATAGGTCTTTCCTTATCCATTACTTCTTATGATGGACAAGAAATTGTTATATTATGTGTAACATTTATTTAAAGCTTTTAAATCATTTCTACGTGGGTGTAGCATTATTCTCTCCAGCCCTTCCCATCCGTGTCCTGCTGGATGAACACTTTCTGTCAATGACTGATTCAGAGTGGTGCACTCGCTTTCTCTACGCATCCTGATAAGGAAAGACGTTTCGATTTTATCAAGCCTGAGTTGCGGTAAATCAGAAACGGATTTTTCTCTTTTTCCCCCCCCTCCCTCAGGCAGCGAGGAGGCAGCACAAAAGTTTACGAACGCTTTCCCGTTAAAAGGAGCCTCTTGTTTCCCGTTCAAGCGCGACCGCGCTCCAAGGCGGCAGCCAGGAGCGGCAGGTCGGCAGCACCCCGCGGCAGCGAGCGCGG